ATATATATATTTGCAGCAGTAACCTTGTTTCCAATTTAAATTGTATTACATTTCAGTTACACGTACTTAGCCTCTCAATTTATTGATTTAATATTATATATTTCTTCATTAATGTCGTAATAATAATTATTATAGGTATAATAGCTTCATTTTCGCAATTAAAAAAATGCTGCCAAAGATCAATAGCGTCTTATCACGCTGTTTATCGATTTTACGTAATATTACGTAATATAATTATTATAATTATTTTATTCAATTATTTCAACTTTAATACCTTCACTTCTGCAGTTAAATGATAAAAAAAATTGTGGTAAGAGCCGCTAAAGAGCGACAGTGCCTTACCAGTTATGTGTTTTCCATCCTTGTCTAGGGGAGTGCTAAACATCTCTCCTTTCATATTACACAAGGAACGGTTGCCCGCAGCCGGCTTATATAGAAACAACTCGGTGTGCGAGTACTAGCGAGAAAGTACATTTTCTTGAATAACTCAAGAACTACCAACTTTATTAAAAAAACGGTAAAGACATTTTTTACTGACAATTACATAATCTATCAAACTATGTACTTTCCAAATTGATTTGTCCAATGCAAAAAATTTCTGACATATACGTATAGCGGGAATTTTGACTGCGACATGGAGGAGAGGGTGGATGCACGTGGAGGCAAATGCAAGACAAGGGCTGTGATGTTTAACCCTTTGCACTCCGCGCTGTCCCCTCTTGTGGGACACAGCATGCTCTATAAAAATTGAAAAACCCATCTTTGTCTTTGTTTCATAAAGGTTGTGAATAAAAGGACCATGAGAAAGTCTAGAAAAATCACGAGAATACAGGGAATATGTTTAAATTTCTATTATTAATGGTATTATTGTATTATTATATTTTATTATTATTGTATTAATATATTTTATTATTGTATTATTGTATTAGTATTTATTTATTATTTATTATTTTTCGCAATTAATACTCTTATTGCCTTCATATAATATTCAACATTGTTAGTAGAAATGAAATATACAAGATACTCGATGTATCTAAATTCGTGAAAATGATGTTTCTCAATTTTCTTTTGTATTTTTTATATAAATTATACAATTTCTATCCGATGTATTCTGTTGGATAATGTTTGCAGGAAAGGCACTAAACTTTACATACAGAAGAACATAACTTCGAATTTTCTAGATGCGTATAAATGTCAAATCGTTACCGCTGCCGAAACAAGGACGAGCAAAACCGCGATCATAATAAAGCGTTCTTATACACACAAATTTACTTACACACACATGTTCAATTGTACGTGATTGTTCTTAATATACGACGCATATTCCATCATATTTTCTTAGAATCAAAGGGACAGTACCTTTTTCGCGTTTTCATGCGACGTTTAGCATCATTTCCGTGATTTTCTCGCAATTTTATGCCGCGAGAAATGTATTTTTCTGCATTCCCAAAAGATTTTCGTACGATTGGCTGACGAAACGGTGATGCGAGCCATATTTGTTGTTGTTGCCTTCTTCACAAACCGAACAACGTAGCACCTTGTGCCTACAATCTTACAGAGGATTGCTGTCTTCTACCGACCGGCAAACCGTAAGCAGCTACAGGTGAGTGCTTCCTTCAACAATTAATATTGTGAACAATAAAGTCAGTATGTTGCCGCGAATGATGCAGAAATTAATAACCGAAGAATTAATAATCTTTCATTTTCTATTATTCGCAGCTCGGTATATATGCATAAATTATATTATATTATTATTATATTTATATATAATTATTATTATTATCGGTATATAAATAAATTGCATTTTTCGAAATTTCTCGATCTTTATTACGCGTCTTGGTCGCAAAGTGGTTCAAACTAATTCAAATTCGATATTTTTCATGCATTTTCCCCTCAACTCTTCGTTTGTTTCTTTAAGAATTTCTGTAGAATACGTTTTTTTTAAATTTTTTATACCAGTTAGTTATTAACAATTATTCTTAGTAATAATTTTTCGTAAATTCAGTGGTGTATTACTTTGTTTCTGCATTAATTCACGGTATTTCGATTTTCATCGGTTTTTTGCGCTTCTGTTTTCGTAATTGTATCATCTTATCCACTAGTTAATTCGACTATATTTTTGTACGTTAGTGTGACGTCAGAAGGGAACCATTTTGAACCACCTTGAACCATTTTGTTTTCGCGGAGCGAATCATGGTTCGGAAAGCAATCAACTTCGATCTTACTGAGACAACCGGTACGCATTAATTTGTGATAGTTCTCAATTTTTTCAATTTTAATAGCAACTCTGTGACAAATTCGAACTGCAAAAAATTTTGCAATACGATTATATATAGGTAGTAGAGCTGCTAAAATTTTTTGTCTTACAATTAAATACATTGGAACAATTTTATTCGTTGTAATTTTTCTTTATCAATAATGTGAATAATAATGTAAATATTGTATTTGAAAAAATTAACTTTGTGAACATTTCAGTGGTAACAGCGGAGGAAGCTTGTAATCTTCTCGAAATCCGCCATATTGACTTCACCGGTGCCATGGAACGGCCATCTTGGAATGACTAATTTGCGTGCCGTACAAATACTTGAGAATAGAATTCTCAATTAATTTGTGTAAGATTCAAATGTCTTAGTCGACTTCACTTTCATGCTTTATGCTTATTGAACTTTTTCATCTTTCTGTTCTATTATTTGCTATTTCCTAATTATTTTCATTACCTTTGGGTTGAAAATTTTGTTGTAATTATTGAAATTTAAGAAATTTCAATCTTAACAATTGTAAATTAGAATTTTCTATTAGGGTATAAAATTGTTCTTTTAATAATCTTATAGTCTTTTGCTCTTTATTTTTTGAAGGTGCCATATAAACCTTGTACTAATTTCTACGAAAAAAACGGCCATTTTGGAATGGCTAATTCGCGAGCCCTTCAAATACTTGAGAATAGAATTCTCAATTAATTTGTGTAAGATTCAAATGTCTTAGTCGACTTCACTTTCATGCTTTATGCTTATTGAACTTTTTCATCTTTCTGTTCTATTATTTGCTATTTCCTAATTATTTTCATTACCTTTGGGTTGAAAATTTTGTTGTAATTATTGAAATTTAAGAAATTTCAATCTTAACAATTGTAAATTAGAATTTTCTATTAGGGTATAAAATATATATATATATATATATATATATATATATATATAAAATATTATAAAATATATATATAGGGTATAAAATATCTTTATTTTTTGAAGGTTGTGATGTGACTATGATTGATAATGGAATTAATGAATGCGCATACGACGTCAGGTTGTTGCATTACTGAGTTGCTGGTAATAGGTGACAACTATATCAATGAGTTCATCTCTGGTGAGTCCGTTTCATTATATTTCCCTAGGAGTTTATTAAGAATTATTAGGCAGAGCTGTGTGAACACATACATATATGTGCCCATAATTATGAAAGTGGTCTAAGTCAACAATTTAAAGAAATTATATAAACATAACTTGAAAATACCGCGTGGTCCTCTTTGTCGCGTTGCTGAACTACATAATAATGAAAATAAAAAAAGCAAATTATTGCAAACCAAACTCACGTGTAACAACGTGCTCGCTGAGTATATACAAAGTCGATTTTCTCGACAACGGAGCCCTAAGTGGAAAAAATCTTATTCCTTATTTTCGACTTATTTTTTCATATAGAATCACCTCCATTGTATAATTTTTCTTTTAATTAATTGAATTTAATCTGTTCATATTTTTATTAATATATATTTAGTGTTTTTCTATATAATCTGTATCTGTAGGACATTAACGCACAAACGTCACCTGAAAACGAGATCATGTATTCGAATGGTTGTACTCGAATTAGAAAAATTAATTCCTAAAAAGAAATCATTCTTATTAAGACCTAATTTCTGTGCATAAATTTGAACATTAACAATCACATATCTGTTTGAACCGCTCAAATGAACATGGTAATATACGTATATAATACTTGTATTGTATGTATTGTAATAAGTAGACTCTGCCGATTTTTTAGGCATTTATAATAAAAATGAATAAGAATTTGAGAAATTTAAGAATAATGTCACATTACGTTCAACTTATTACAATTATAAGAAGAAAAGAAGATATTTCTTTTAGTTTGCATTAACAACCGCTATATAATAATAAGTTTGCTCGTAAACGATTTGGACGAAAAATTTGGACTAATAGTATAATTATTAGTATAATTATTAATTATACTATAATTATTGTAATAATTAATTATATTATAATTAATAGTATGTTTAATTATATTAATAGTATATTAATAATATATTTAATTATATTATAATTAATAGTATAATAGTATAATTATTTAACCTAATAGTATAAATATAGTATATTTATACTAGTTCATGTCTCCTGTATCCTGGAATGTCCAGGTTCTAGAGCTGACAAGAAGGCATTCGGGGCAAACGTATACGCATTGTTTATAGTCGCCTTCTCGTCAGCTCCGAGTAGTACTGACTTGAGTACGAACCATATACACATAATTAAGGAGCATGCTATAGCGAAATCAGCCTGTACAATTGCCAACTCTTTTTACTAGTATAAATCAGGTTCAAACGTAAACGCAGGGTGTTATCAGAATCTGAATCAGAATCATATTTTATGTCAATTATCGTGTGATAGAAATATCGTATATTGCATATAGTTACAAGAATTTGAGTTATAGTAATATGTAAATCTGCAAATAGTGATGTTCAAGAAAGCTCATAAAGTGCAGAAAAAAGTTGAATTTATTTCCAAAGGAACTGGTTTATTATTATTCTCAGAATGTTCAAATATGTTGCAACTGCATCTTTTGAATCTGTTAAAACAATTAAGATCTACGAAAATGATTGAAGATGTGTTGTCGAGAGACAAGGTCATTATATTGCCAAGATGTTGCAAATATCATAGTTGGGCCGGGTTGTTGCTCGATAAATTCCCAACATTCGGAATTAGCAACGGAATCGCCAACATATCATTTTATTACAAATATGGAGTTGCATTCTTAAATGGAACATTTCAAATGAGAACACTCCATTTTCGATTATCGTGCAACACGAGTCAACTAAAAAAGTCATTCGAAGTGCCTTAAAAATACTACTATGGCATCCTGGTTTTAATGCAACTGCACCTTCGCAATTACTTTCAAGTATTGTGATGGATACGACAACTGCGGCCCTTACCTTCATCTCAATCGATTGGATCAAGATAAACATTGAGTGATGAAACATTGATTTTCATGTGAACATTCACCTCAGTGTATGATATAGATATTTATGATGATTATAGATGATCAGATATTTACTACTCTCCATTTAATCTGTTTGAAACTTTGTACGGTGTTACAAAGTGTGGAAGTAACTAACAACAAAATTGAAGACATATATTGATCTGACGTCCGCAGATCAAATTTTCCAGCAAGAGTTTGGATCATTGGATCTTTCGACGTGAACTTTGCTAATTTCGATCAACAGTCTAGAACGCTTGCTTTTCGGAGTGATCTGGACAGGAAGTGCTTACACGGAGACGTACGAAGATTGTGCATCACTGCCTCTGATTTATTAAAAACTTGCAATCATATTTGAATAATAGACGCTACAGCTTTCGAAGATCATTTGTTTTGTTACTTATTTCTGCACTCAAATTCTGTTGTTACTCGTTGCTGTAACGAATATGTTGTTGAGTAAGTTTACCGACTGATTCTGATTGTGACACGATAAAATCAAATACTCTATATTTATTTATATATATTTATATTTATACTCTATATATCTATATTTATACTCTAGATTTATAGAAATCCCTGTTTAAATGATCTATTTGAAACGTTCACTTCATGGAATCTAGAATACAGGGGAAAGATTGCTAGTGAATTGTTAGTGAGAAAGAAAGTACGTCGGATGATTTCGACCAAACTCGGAACATTTATAATATGGCGAAGTTAATGTAATTAATTCATTTAAGTTTGTTCATAATAGCGCTATTGGTTTAAGCAGGTTTGTGTTTTTATTGGATAAGACTCGTCGTAATTATTTTTCTGAAATGGAATTACGTTTGTGCGTTACATACTTGTAACATACAGTGAGCGTTTTTATAAAAGTTTTAGAGTAACAGAAAATGTAAATGTATTGTTTATAATTTTATAGAGGATGATAACGTTTGCTCGTTGCAAAAGATTTCTTGCAAAATTTTCCATCTTAACATTCGAATTGCAAAAAATCCTTTCCGCGAACATTGTATGTGAAACGAAGCCAATTGCACTATATATTTCATTATTCGATTTCAAGCAAACATTTCGAATAATTAAAAATATAGTTTCAGTTTTATAACGTAGGAGAGACAGAGAGAAAATAGATACATTTTTCACCTTTTGTTTTATACAATCTTCAATTGAGCTAATTACTTAATACCAAAAAAATGCTAATATATGCTTTAATCCATCCTTTTAATATTTTGTAAAGGACGAATTCAGAAACTACACACAACATAAATCGCAAAGTGTTTTCTAAGTGATTGAAAAATGTATCAATGTACCCCGCTGCGTTGCAAGTTGAAATCGCCTTTAGAGGGCAGGTTAATACTCATTTAAAACACCTTAGTTTAATATATAATAATTATTTTTATTACTAAAAATGCATATATTATTAATATAATATATTATAAATATATTAATTGTAACGTAATAGTGATTTAATTTTACTGAATGTATGTAATCTGGGGGTGCTTCACTAGAAATCCTAGTAGGAAGGGGAGGAAAACGACAGGGGAGAGTTGGAAAGGAGATAGTAGGATGTCGAAAGAAAATCATTAGCAACAACGCGAATAGAATCATAAAGAATGGAAGAATGGGAAATCCTTCGGGTCTGGTTTACGACGGTCGGACGGGCCCCAAAACGGTCTCGAAAAACCCCGAGTACAATAAATGAATAAATAAATAAATCTCCATGCGGATCTGGTGTGCAGATGTAGGTTCATACGAGCCCCTGTCATTAGCTTCGAATTTGGAAATGTCCGTGGCGGTACGAACGACTTTCTATTTTATGACGAGGGCTTGATAGCGGTATGATGGCTGTTACAATACTATATACTAAAAGTGACGTAGCGAAACAATTATACTTGAAATTAACCGACGTGATGAAAAATACAAAATTCTATCGCTTTCTAAAATGGCAGCAAACAAATGATGCACACAGCATCCCTATTTTCTGATTCTGATTCATTTTTATTTTGTAAACAATTATTATTTCTGTGTTTAATTAATTAGTTCTTGAGGTTTTCTTTACTGTTGCAATTATTACCTATAAAGAAAAGTTAAAAAATATCTTTCGTAGATCGTGTGCAAGCTGAATATTTTTCTAACAATAACGTTTATTAGTACTGTTGAATTTCAACAAATAGGTTCAATCAAAAATCATTCGAGCAAATAGTTTTTTATTTACTACCTGATATCATTTAATCCTGAAGGCTTGTGATAATGTATTTTCTGTTTTCGTGTTGAATCATGTCAGTTAACGTAAACATCTCATAAAGAAAGACCAATTCTCAGTTGATTAATAAGACATGGACATTAGTGCCAAATCCTAAAGATAAAAACATTGTAGATTATAAATGAGTATTTCCAAAATGATGAATTTGTAAACCCGTTTAAATATAAAGCTCGTCTAGTTGCAAATGGCTTTAAACAACAATATTTAGTAGACTGTAATGAAACTTTTACCCGGGCCGCATTAGATTTATAATTGCTTATGCGAATCAATGAAATTTTTTAATCCATCATATGTATGTTAAAACTGTATTCTTCAGTGGAAAATTAAAAAAGGGAGATTGAAGTCATAAATATCAAGTTAAGTAAATTAAATACATTTTTGTATGGTTTGAAGAAATTGTAAAGGCTCTTAAAGAGAAAAATTTTGAGAATTCCCCGATCGACCGCACCCTGTCGATATGTTGTCGATTGTTTAATGTATATAATGATGTGTACACAACCTGATTTGTGTGTAACTATTAGTATTTTGAGTCGATATACAAGTAAAAGGAATAAAGAACTGTCGGATTTGCCTTAAAAGAGTTATAAGATATTTGAAAAGTTCCATAGATATTAAATTAGCATTCACAAGAAGTGAATACGATAACAATAATATTCCGAGAGGCTATGTCAATTCATATTGTTTGAAAACTGTGCAATTACTTGGAACTCGAAAAATAGTAATTGTCAAGATTATTTGTACGGAGCCCAGATTCATTAATAACTGGTAAACCATGCCGCGAATTGCATTTACACTAAGGAAAAAGTTACATCAAATGACTTCAGGAACCAACCCCCCATTCACCGAAAGTACCGTAATTTTGGAACTCTCTGTATACCTATGCAGGTGAGCAAGTGGCGGATGTTCTGACCAAACCATTTGCAGGACATAAATTCTTGAATATGTGAACAGAAATGAGTTGAGAAAAAAAGATATATTTTGTTTATGTGTTTCATAATTATAATGTATAAGTTGTCTAATTAGGTTTTTCTTGTTCCCAGAAGAAGGAATGTATATGTATAGTCCCCGGAACCCTTGCCGTTCCGTTTAGAACTCGATCTCTGTCGAACGTGTGCAATCCCATATATCTTTCTCGCAACAGGATTTGCTCCGGTCGTTAATAACGTCGCCGTGCGCGAAATTTTCTAAGTAATTTCTTATTTCTTTCGATCTGCGCCGACAATGAGTCTCGACGAATTATAAATTCACGTAGCCTTCTTCCACAAGGGCACATAGCACGCAGCAATACGTGGTTCGGTGGTACCTCTACCGGTGGTACTATCTCCTCGTCTAAGTCTTCACAGATATGTTGGTTGTCCATTTGTATCGGAATTTTCTACACCCTGCTCCAAAAATCTGCAACAAAACAATGCAAATTTGAAATGAGTTTAAGCCGCATATTATTTCGATATATGGGGATTACCACGCGTCCAACAGTGATCAAGTTCCAAACGTGTGCACGGAACGGTAAGATATAAGATTTCGGTTTTCTTAAAGACCATGTTTTTTCAGTTTGGACCCGGAGCAGCGTACCTCGACTGTGAGTTTCTCGAACACCATAACTCCGCCAACTCCCCGACTGTCGAGATAGCAAGTTCGATTGCTTTTATCGAAATTCAATTGATTTGATAAATTTTCATTCAGACCGATAATTATTTGTATTCCATTTGTACTTTATCAAACGCTGTTACAACTATTTCAATCGATTCCACACCAGAATTTAGATATTAGATCGTTTGTTTTACACTTGTTGGGTACTTCGTAAAAATTTCGTATTGTCATTTTTGAAAAGCGATACACCCTTAGAGTCGTTTTTACAATTAGTGATCGACAGCTTTCTCTTGTTTTAAAAAAGGTGATACAGTTTACAGCGTAATTGTCATTTTGAAGTTTGGAAATTGATTGAAATGAGAAATGTGGCAAATTCAAACGATCTACGAATCTGATATTGAAGATCGACAGGTTCCAACTTATTTCAAATTTGTATTGTTCTTTTGCAGATTTTTTGAGCAGTGTGTCGAAAATACTGGTATAAATTGAGAACCAACATATCTGTGAGAACTTAGAAGAGGAGATAGTACCTCCGCTAGAGGTACCGCCGAACAACGTATTGCTGCGTGCTATGTGTCCCTGTGGAAGAAGGCTACGTGAATTTATAATTCGTCGAGACTTATTGTCGGCGCTAAATAAAATTTCGGTTTTCTTAAAGACCATGTTTTTTCAGTTTGGACCCGGAGCAGCGTACCTCGACTGTGAGTTTCTCGAACACCATAACTCCGCCAACTCCCCGACTGTCGAGATAGCAAGTTCGATTGCTTTTATCGAAATTCAATTGATTTGATAAATTTTCGTTCAGACCGATAATTATTTGTATTCCATTTGTATTTTATCAAACGCTGTTACAACTATTTCAATCGATTCAACGCCAGAATTTAGATATTAGATTGTTTGTTTTACACTTGTTGGGTACTTTGTACGGCAATGGTTCCGGGGACTATATCTGATAAAGGAGGAAATCTCTTAGATTGTACAGATAATTTTTTGTAATAACTTGAAAATAATCATTTATTATTTCAATTTATAAATACCAACATTGTCTTACTATTTTGAAATCAACCTTCAACGTACACCCTGCGTTTGTAATAACTATTACTAAGGGGAACTTCGTTAAAACGACGTGTCACAATGTTTGAAACAGTAATTGTAACAATAACCTGAGTTTAATATATAATAATTGTTTTTATTACTAAAAATGCATCAGACAAATATATTTATTATAACGTAATAGTGATTTAATTATACTGAATGTATTGCACTATACTGAGTGCGATAGTGTGAATACAAAATAGTGTAAAATACAAATGGAAACTCTCACTACATCTCACCAGCACCCTTAAATACCAGTAGATAGTAGGATATCGAAGGAAAATCGGTTGGCTACAGCGGGAATAGAATCATAAAGAATGGAAGAATGGGAAATCCTTCAGGTCTGGTTTACGACGGTCGGACGGGCCCCGAAACGGTCTCGAAAAACCCCGAGTACAATAAATGAATAAATAAATAAATTTCCATGCGGATCTGGTGTGCAGATGTAGGTTCGTACGAGCCCCTGTTATTAACTTCGAATTTGGAAATGTCCGTGGCGGCACAAACGACTGTTTTCTATTTTATGACGGGGGCTTGACAGCGGTATGATGGCTGCTACAATACTATATACTAAAAGTGAAACGATTTTACTTGAAATTGACTGACGTAGCGAAACAATTATACTTGAAATTAACTGACATAATGAAAAATACAAAATTTTATCGCTTTCTAAAATGGCACCAGACAAATGATGCACACAGCATCCCTATTTTCTGATTCTGATTCATTTTTATTTTGTAAACAATTATTATCTCTGTGTTTAATTAATTAGTTCTTGATGTTTTCTTTACTGTTGCCCGGTCTTGTTGACCCTTGAAGAGAAGGCCCCAGCCATCACTCCATACACTTACAACTTTTTTGAATTATTAGAAATATTGAAATGAAATTTTCACTAGAAATAATTAAAATATCATCGTGGGGCACGATTTTTGATTTCCTACAACCACTATGAAATTCTTTAATTTCCTGATCAAGTATCCGAAAATCGAATTGCTCCATCTTCTTCAATTGTCGAAAAAAAACCGAGCTTGTATAAAAACCCAGAATTTTCGACAAAAATAAGGTATTGCATGAGTAAAGTGAAAACATTAGAAAGTTCTAGGAATCCGTCTTAAAAGATAGAGGAGAGTTTTCCGAATGTAATGGTATACAATTTGTTAATTGTTTTTAGACCCAAATAGCAAAGTTAATGTTAAAGTTCAAAAATGTGTCGACGGGCGTAGTTTCTCCGCAATATTTTTGTATTTTTTCGAAAAGTTCTTCGTCCAGCACGAAAACTCTACACATAATCGGATTCTGTAGACATTTCTGAAGAAGAAACGGCCCGGTGAAAGTGACGGAACGATTTTCATTTCGAGTCGGACGAGAAAATATTCGTCGGCAACACGTGTATGACGTTTTGCCGCCACGTGCTCGCTTCTCTATGGTAGGCGGGCCGAGCTATGCCATTAAAGACGCATTAACGTACTGCGCAGGATGGGCTGGTAGTGGGGGTCTGAGAAGCCGTGTTGTTCCCCCGTCGTCACAAGGTTCAACACGACCGAGGTATACGCCACTAATGAGGCAGTAACGTTCTGCGCAGGATGGAAGTGGCTTGCGGTTAAAACTCAAGAATTATGGGCTGCGATCGAATCATAAAAGCATCAACAACCTCCTGTGTTCCAAAGGCACGTCTATTTAATAATAATGGCTCATAAAATACATTGTTCTCATAAAACATTTAATACTATAGCAATATGTATATATTGAACATAATGTAATTGTAATATCTTTTATATACAATACATAGAGACCAAAAGTGGCAACGTCACAGTTACACACGTTAACCAATCAAGAGAAGTTATTATTGAACCAACCAATCGTAGACGGGATAAGTACCAAGAGTGGTGGCAACGTTGCAGTTACACACGTGACCAATCAGTATAAAACCAGCCAATCTTAGACGGGACAAGTATTGTAGAAGATTTCGTTCGCGTATTCGTTCTCTTCGTTCCCGAAGGCCATAGTGAATACTTCGTTTTACGAAACGGTTGGGGTAGTGTCAAGCTCGTTACTTGCGAGGAACTTACACACTTAGTACACAGTTGTAGAGACGGATATACAGTCATTTCTAAACGGACAATGGGAGGAGCACGTTCGCCGAGTGTAAAACCAAAGCAGCAGAATGCATCTGCAAAAAACAGGAACAATAAGCCACGAGAACGTAATCTACCGGGCGGCGGAAATCGTGGATCGTGTGGTCGGAAAGGCGGTACACGCTTTTCAGGCGGACGCGGCGGTGGAATGGGTGGAGGAAATAGGAATAACGATGGACCGGTACGGATTTTTCACAATTTTTATATAAATGCACATGTACACACACACACACACAAGAGTTTTCCATGTTCTTCGTTCTTGTCGGCCATGTTTGCTTTGAAATGATGCGTAATATGTACTTCTAGATTTAGGGCTTCATTTTTGGTCTTACCTTTCATTTTTCATAAGTGAAACACTAGCTTTTGTTGTATACCTTTGCTATTTTCATCCAATTTTATACAACTTATTACAGTAAACCTTCGTTGTCGATAGAATTTCTAAATATATTGTTTTTCTTGTAAATTATTAGATATACTCATATATGAATTACGTGAGACCTAAATATTTTGGAAATTAAACCAGAATGTTGTGTAAGTCTTTTCAAATGTTTCATGTAATATGAAATGTTTTATTCGTTTAAAATATTATCCACCTATCTTAAATAACACAACAGTAGATATTTCATGGTAATTTTCTTGACTTGAGTCGGATTTTGGGAATATTGTTTGATTTTATTAGAAATAGTATCATTTTTCCTGTGATGTAATTTGCCATCAGAGCGTATTCATTACTCATATAAAGTGCTACAAAATAGCGCAGGAAGCTCATAAGAAGCAAAATAGCCACCAGGACCATCGAAGAAACACGTGAAAATCAAACTTGAAATTTATGATTTTAATTCTGTATGCTATGCATATAAAAGAGTGCTACTGTACCATGAAGTTTTTACGTTGATATACTTGAACGTAACTAGAATACATCATTTAAGTTGATTGGGAAAATTTTATTTAATTGGAACTTAAAAGTTTTTGTATTTTGGAATTTTATTCACTTATTAATTTTGTAACTATCTTTCTGAGAATAGTATATAATATGTGTATCATGATAAATATTGTTGCTTCATAATTTTTAGTTCTCTGACTGCAAAAGGCGTATGTACACTCACAATAAATTTTGATTTAATTTACTACATTTACTTATTTATTAAACTAACTTCTGAGACTTTTGTCAAATCGCTAGATTTGTAAAGAATTAATATTTCATATATTTGTTCACGAAATCAATTTAAAAAGAATTTTACATGAATTTTTATTTCTACAGATTTTCTGAGACAAACATTTCACACCTCATAGATACCATAATTACCAATAATCTTCCCACACTTCTACTTGAAAATATTTCAGCTTCTGGCCAGATTTACAATGTCCTTGAATAAGGATTAGTTGAGTGTGAAGTGTTAACCCTTTGCACTCTGCTGTCCCCCCTCGTAGGACATTAAAGTTTATTAGTGATTACGGGGAATTGAGTTATTTCTGCGCAACTTTTTGAGACATGCATGTTTCCCTGAAGTTTTCTCTTTAAATGGCACAAGAAATCAAATCAAAATATAGTAAAATTACTAAGATATATACAAGAAATGTCAGCGGGTTTTGACGAGAACGTGAAAGGCGTGCTCACGACGGTCCGAGCACTTCAAAGGCGCCATTTCATATTTTTTTATTAGAACAATGGCAAAACGTTCAAATACCAATGAGTCTCATGACACAAGTAGTAGCGAAGATGAGCTCCAGATAGACGTTTATACGGATATGTTAGAAAGACTAACTGTAGAAGGTTTTCTTCTACAGTTAGTCTATCGTTTTGATAGCAGTGATAGTGATGTCGTCCAAGCAACAAGGCGACGAGAGAAAGAGTTCGCATAGATAGCGGTTACAACAACAAAACAAAATTATAAAAAATAAAATATTGATTTTTTTGCAAATTTCTCGATTTCAGCCAAATTCATAGAAGTCCAATATCATTATAATATGTTAGTTAGTTCCAAAACCATACTAAATAATACGAGGGTCTGTAAATGCCCGTTTCTGCCGAAAAGTGGTGCTGAGTAGCTGGTAGCCAACGTCCAAAATGATTCGGAGTGCTAAGGGTTCAGAAATTTTTTATGCATTCTTGTTTTAACAATGCTACTCTTGTTTTCATTGTAGCCATCATGTAATAATGAATTATCAGGTTATGATTTTATGTAAGAATATCAGAACTTTTATGAATGAACATCGTAACTTGCTTTGTCACTTACAAGTTAAAACAGAAAGAGTTTAAGAATAAGAAAGAGAAGGTTATATAATTTTTAAAGAACAAATTCAAATACATATTTTTACAGATGAAGAAGAGCGATTCTATGGATGGAGATACTACTATGTCTGAAGGAATGGGTATGAGTATGGGACGAGGTGGCGGAATGCGTGGAGGACGAGGAGGACGAGGAGGTGGTGATAGAAATATGGGAAATCGTTCACAAGATGTAAGCAATATTTTGCTATACCTTGTATTTAAATATTATCTAATATATTTGACATAGAAAATAATTAAATAGAAGTTTTATCATATTGTAGTAATATAACTTTATTGATTTCCAAATTAGGATCGTTTAATGGAGCGCCTTATGTCTATTAGTGGACCTACTCATGAGTTACCACCACAGGAAACAACAGAAAAAAAATTCAGTGGGCGTAATCGTTTGTATATTGGAAATTTCACAAATGATGTGACTGAAGAAGAAATTAAACAAATGTTTCAACAATATGGAGAAATATCTGAACTCTTTCTAAATAAAGAGAAAAATTTTGCGTTTCTTAGAATGGTAATTTAAATTCGTGTATTTCTATTTCTTTATCTACATATAATATGATTATAACAATTACCGTTTGATAAAGAATGATAATAAGTTTTGGCTGCATATATATTTATTTGATATGAGAAATTATTTTAAAGTTTAGATATTGAAATCTATCTTAAATTGTAGTTCATAGAATCTTCTAATTTGTAGGATTACAGAGTGAATGCTGAGAAAGCAAAGGATGAATTAAATGGTACCATGTGCAAAGGTCGTGCAGTCAGAGTACGCCTTGCACCAGTTTCATCCACAATTAAAGTTAAAGATCTGACTGTATGGACTTCAAATGAATTGCTTGGAAGAGCGTTTAGTGTCTTTGGTGAAATCGAGCGTGCAGTAGTTATTGTAGATGACAGAGGAAGAACAACTGGTGAAGGAATTGTACAGTTTTGTAGAAAACAGTCCGCTCAACTTGCTCTACGAAAGTGTACAGAAGAATGTTATTTCATAACTGCGTAAGTTTCTGTAATGATCATAAGTATTAAAATTAAACCCCAACGCCACGCTTGTTGCATTAAATAATCAACAAGTGCCAATTAAGATAATTGGGGAAGAAAAATAATTCCTGATGGAAGCATGATTCATTTATTTGTTTTGTGTGCCGAAGACGGAATACAATTTAAGAACAAAATGGTTATATTCATATAAGATTTCTGCAAGATAAAGGAAATGTATTTCTTACAGTTCTTTACGACCAGTCGTCGTTGAACTACTTGAACAACAAGACGACGTAGACGGTTTCCCTGATAAAATTTTGCCACGGAAGCATCCAGAATTTTTTAAGGCTCGAGATATTGGGCCAAGGTTTGCATCATTGGGAAGTTTTGAGCACGAATATGGAACAAGATTGAAACAGCTTCATAAAGTTTACAAGCAAAAGAAAGAAGCACTGAATAGAGAAATGGCAATGGAAGAAGAAAAGTTGGAAGCTCAAATGGAGTTCGCACGTTATGAACATGAAACAGAATTGTTAAGAGAACGTACGTATTGTGACTTATTCATATAGTGGTATTTAAAATTTGTTAGGTAATGTATGGTTTTTGAAATGAATTTTATCTTTTTATAGAGCTACGCATGCGGGAAGCGGATCGTGAACGGCAAAAGAGAGAATTGGAAATGAAAGAAAGACAAGCTGAAGAAGAAAGAACGCGCGAGGAAGAATTAAGAAGAAGACAGCAGGAAGAAATGGCTATACGTATCAGGAGACTAGAAGAAGAGTTACATAGGCGTGAACAAGAAAATAATTTGTTTATGCAGGTAACTAAATTATGTATTACTTGCTATCTAGAGGACTTATATTTCCACAAATTTTCATAGTATCAAATGCTGTATGTCCTTTTATCATACGAAGATGAATGCCTTAATTATTCAGGTTAATTTTATTTTTAATGTTGAGTGCTACTCTGTACAATTACTCTTCTTTTGATTAGTGCTTAAAAGTTTCAGCTCGTAAGTCTAACCGGTACAGAAGTTTTATTAAACTGATATCTGTAGTATCGTTAAGTGTTACATACTTTGTTTTAATTAACCTTTGCAACTGTATTAAAAATAATTGTATCCGTAACACTTGCATAGCATTAATGATATTTTTAATTTCTTTATTATTTGTTAATAATGATAATCATCATTAATACTATTTTAGGAGCAAGCAATGAGAACTGGCGACGGAGGTGGTGACATGGGAGGAAAGAACTACGATTCCGTTAGTAATAGTGATCGCGATGGATATGGTCAACCTGATGGTAAGTTTTCATGTCATCTCAGTTGTCATACAATATTTGTAATTTCATTTAACATGTGAACGGTAATGGTGTGCGGAATCCCGAAAAAGTCCGGAATTCCCTTATCTTGGTTATTTTGATTCCATATTTTCGGGTTCTCACATAATCTTAGAAACTACGATAATATATGTCAGCAGCAAATATTAAATGGAACGATATGCATTCAGGTTCTTGCAATTTTCGAGAATCTCAGACTTTCTCGAGAATCCCAGAAACTTCGTGATCCCATCCTGACATTTTGGGAAAGATTCGTTGCCTGCCCTAACCTGACATTTTCAGAATACCACACACCTATAATAAACTGTATGTTTCGTGCATTTGTAGTCTTCATATGTACCATTCCATTACTTATTGTTCTACTGGCTAGACTAATTTATAATCATATGTTGTTCTTTATTACAGGTGTAAGCTGTATGCCAGTGGTAACGTATCTTATTACATTACTGGTTGAGTTACTTTTATTTTTCGTACAAAACTACAATTTAAGAATTAGTATCTCACAAGATTAAATTTATTTTCTTTCATTTATACTTACATATATATGTAATGCATATATATGCGGTGGTACTTCAAAACCATTAAGTCTATAGGCGGGAACTATTAGATGAGTTGGACTGTGTTCTTGCATGATAAAAAGGAGCCATTATTGTTAGCGAAAAATTCTCTGGAAAAAATGCGCGAAGTGACTTCGTTACAAGTCTTCCCATGAAAGCATGCCTTCCAAAACAACAGAGTTCTAATGTCTGCAACAATGCCACCTAATGCCATTAAATGTTGAATTTCATGTTCATATTTTATACAAATAACTTTATTTTAATTAATTGGCTTTAACATCTGGAGGTGTCAATGGGCATATATCGATGCTTCCTATTTAACCAATTTTTTTTTTTATTAATACTTTTTGATGCGGATATACATCGAAGTTATCATGTTCCATTTTACCTGAACAGAAATGTAGGAGGTATTTTTGATACAGATAAGATATCGTTATTTTTCATCCACGGTTGTGTTGCTTCTGCTTTCACTTAAATGAAAGTAGATACTTCTGTGATATAAATTTTTGTTTTTCTTCGAAACTGCTTGAAACAATCATGAAGCGATTGATTGATTTAAGTTCTTCAAGATTGATTTTGTAGTGTTGGATTATATCGAAATGTGAGATATCTTCATGAATGTATGAGTTTTTGAGAGAATATCAGGGAAAGTTAGCCCTCTGTTATGTTCTGCTTGGAAATCGAATATACAAGTGATGGAAATATACTAATGAAAATTAAAGACAATTAGTTGGTCTGCGGTGTATAAACTTATACTGTTATACAGAATGGTAGGGCATTTACAAATTTTATAATGACTTAATATATTGAAAACTGTATAGGTAGGTTAATTTAATTTTTATTTTGGAGCATGAATTTAAATGTATACATAAAAGTGAATATTTAATATTCTTTTAATGCGTAATATAATTTTCTATAATGGATTTAAGTACTCCCTAAGCGACGAGATATATTTAAACATGTTACATTATTCTCTAGGTCATTCTCTGTGCATTTGTAGATGCTACAATTCTAACTAAAACTATATTAATACTTTGCCACATTGGTCTCTCTATATGCTTGCAGACAAGAGGCTCTGTACTCTATTTTCTCTAACTGAGTTAAGGATTAGGTGCATTAATTACTATAGAACTAACATACATATTTCCATGAAAAATTTATAATTTTCATAAATGGTTCAGCTTACTATTTAATATTTCTAACCTCCATCAGTAATTACGTAATTATAGTTCCATAGTAACAATTTGACATTTATTGACCAAGAAATGCCCAACAATACCAAATAGTATTCAAACATAATTAGCTCTGTTCAGAAAATATTTTTACTATATTTGAAAATACACACAATTTTGTTTAGATAATAGAATTTATCTAGAAATAGAACAATAGTTTCTGAATGGAGCAATATGTAAGCTGTATAGATGAGCAAGTGATTTTTCTTTTATATGAGAAATCTGAGGGATGTTCTTAACATTACTTTTGTAACAGATGTTTCTTTGCATACTATTTTGCAATTCATCATTTACACATTTATAGAAAGATGTGTACAATTCTGTGGAATAAATATTCTGTAGAGCAGGGGTGTCAAACTCAAAAGCTAACTTGGGCCAAGTAAACAATGCTTAACTTTAGGTGGCCCGCAAAAAAAGATCAATGTTCATAGCAACAAATATTTTTATTTTGACTAGTACATTGTAATAAACACATATATAAAGTTAAATTATTGTATACATCCTGATACTTGACATCAAAAATGTTCATCTCGAGCCGCGAGTTTAACACCCCTGCTGTAGAGGTTGCTTAGAGTCCTTAATCACGCCTCTTTGCTGCTGCCGTCGATACTTAATCTGCAGACATGTATAAAATTCCATTAATGCTTACTCCGTAGTTATATAAGTTATAAATACGTCTTAGTCTGAAATATGTTTCTATATATAAAACGAAACTACTATTCCTGTAGAATTTTGTGAATGTGTTAAGCATATACAGTACCGAACAAATGTATTCAGACAAATGATTTTTCTTTATTTTTATGGATAAGTCACGATATTAATATAAAATTAACTTAGCAGTTTATAAAAGTCAGGCTAATAAATTACATATCTAAACCAATTTAACAAATTGTAGCGTAAAATATATATTTTGTACAATAAAAAAAAAATTGACAAAAAAAAGTATTCGGACAGAACTTAAATCTTGAGAAAATTATAAAATTAACACATATTGTTGGTGAGAGAAAATAAAAAAGTTAGTTAGTATTTAATACAATAACCATTAGAATCAATAACTGCTTGCATTCTTTTAGGCAGTGATTTCAAAAAATTATTTATTGTAACAGGAGTAATTTTTTTTGCTATTTTTGGCAAAGAGTGTCATACAATTGACAAGTATTTCGAAATTTTTCATTTTTTATGCTTAGTTTTAAGTGTTCCTAAAGATGTACCATTAGATTTAGATCCGGGCTTTGCGATGGCCACTCGAGAACGTTCACACTATTAGCATTGATCCAATGTTTCACGGCACGAGTAGCGTGCTTCGGGTCATTATCATGTTGAAATATCCAATCTTCGTCCATGATTTCAGTTGCATGAGATAACATTTCTGTCTCTAATATTTCTATATACTACTCCTTCTTCATATGCTTTTAATTTGTCGCAAAGGACCAACACCATGACTGGAGAAGCACCCCTAAACCATAATGTTTCCGCCTCCATGTTTTACTGTTGAAATTTGATAACGCACGTTGAATCTTTTACCTATTAGTCGACGTACCCATTGAATTCCATCAGATCCAAATAATTTAAATTTGCTTTCATCGCTGAAAAGCACATTTGACCAGTCTTTTATTGACCAATGAAGGTGTTCTTTAGTAAATTTAAGCCGGGCCATCCTGTTCTTTTTTGAAATCAATGGTTTCTATGAATGCTTTTATGAATATTTTTGTGGATAGTATGAATGCTTTTATGAATGGTTTCATTCTTGTGAATGCTTTCATGAATACTGTAGTCCTCCTGGGGTCAGCAATTGATATAGGCGCCATATTTTCTTGTCCTGTCTAATTGAGGTTTTTTTGGTTGGCTGTACTTGTATTTATCGTTTAAGTGTCCTTGTTCTTGAAATCGCTTCTGTATGCAGTACACAATTTGTTTTGCGATGTCAAAATGCCGAGAAACATAAAAAATGAATTCACCGTTTTGTAAAGCATTTATAACTCGTTTCTTTAGTCATTTTGGTAAGCTTTGTCCTCGTACCATCTTCGTAAGAATAAAACAAAAGCATAAAAAAAGGATTTGACAAATATATCAATATTAAGAAATAAATTACATGCATAAATGAAACGTCCGAATACTTTTGTCCTAGCTAATTTGAATAAAATCTATCTTATGTGCAGTATAGAGCAAATATTTATGTGTCACTCTCACACGAGTTAGCGTTCGTCTAATAGCAAACAAAACGCGGAATGGCCTGCTCCTAACAATAATATCGCAACATAGGAAAACAAAAACATGTTTATCTGAATACATATGTTCGGTACTGTATAAGCTACGATAATGTAATGAAGAAGTCACTGAATTACTTCTACGTGGACGGTACATACAAAAATGTCTTCCACATCTAAAATTCTTATCAATAATAATATTTATACAGGATGTCCCAAAATTGTCTCACAATCCGAAAGTTGCGGGTTTCTCAGGTCATTTGAAGAAACTTTTTCCTTTACAAAAATTTTCTTCGAGGCACCATTAACGAGTTATTAACGAAAAACAGTGACCAATGAGAAGCGAGCTCAGCTGGCGCGAGGCGACCGAGCGGAACTGGGCTTCGTGCGCTGGTTGGCTGGGCCACCTCGCGTCAGCCGTACTTGATTCTTATTGGTCACTGTTTTTCGTTAATAACTCGTTAACGGTGCCTCGGAGAACATTTTTGTAAAGGAAGAAGTTGCTTCAAATGATCCGAGGAATCCGCCATTTCCGGATTGCGAGACATTTTTGGCACACTCTGTATAACCTGCTACCTGCTCGTAAACTAAAACGCTGGAACAAAATAACATTGAACAATATGTTGTTCATTTACTTTAGGTGGGAGTACATTTTAAGAATCCTCTCTGAATTATAATTCTGAAGTTACAACTGATTAAACAACTCCTGAAATTTAATCAGAATGATTTACGGAAAGAATGAAACTGTTTTAGGGAGAGAAATGCGAGCAATATTTTGCGTATCAAGACTGATAGGGGATTATTATTCTTGTTCTTATAATCGACTGTGACAGGTGCTGTGATATCGATGGTAATTACCGTCGTTGATTTATATGTTGGGCATTTGCTTGGTTGTATAAGGTGAATTAATGTCGAAAAATACGGCATACATTTGTGACAAAGTTCGAACAAAATATATACATATATATCGTTTGCTTTAGCGCGTGTTTACACGCAATCCATTCTAATGTTGTACAAGACAAAGCAACATCTAACATTGTGTTTCCCCTTTCTTTTCTATGTGATTTGACGAAAATTGATGATGACCTGTGCTGCTGTCAAACATGGATGGTCGCCCTGAACCGTGAAATGTATTTATGGTACATCAAAAATCTACAAAACACCGTGTGTGTTCACCGTTTAAACGGGATGGCATTTTCTTCGATGATTATCGACATACTCTCGACTGTTCTGACTAAAACCTACCGCAAACAAAAAACGAACCAAACACAATCAATTTAACCGCGATAATATCGACTATTACTCAAATGTTTGCGATGATTAGGGCCCAAAGTCTTTCATGGATGCTTATAACTCTATGGATCGTGGTAGCCGAGGGGGTTATAATGACGATCGTGCTCAGATAATGGATTTGATGGATATGAGGGTCGATATGGGTAATATGGGAGGTGGTCGTGGAGGCGGTGGTGGTAGTGGACGTTGGCAAGGTGGAAATGATCGAAATCGTCAGGACGATTATCCTAATAAAAGGAGACGTTACTGAAACAAAGGAATCGTTAGAGTATTATGTATCTCCTTCACGTCGAGTTAGGAATGATATTTTCCGAGATAGTTCGCATTGTATTCTTCAATCATTTCTCCACACGTTTTGCTGTAGAATGTCTCTCACATTTTTGTTAACTATCATTGGGTGGGGAGAACGATAAATGATACATCAACAAGGATACATAATAGAGTATGGTCAAAAGTTGATAAGTGGATATATGGTGGTTAAGCGATTTTTATATATTTCGTATTAGATCTGACGACATTGGATATCACAAATCGTTTCCGAACAAAGAGACTGCTGTGTTTTTATACAGTTTTTAAGTTCTCAGAATATTAATGAACTTAGTAAAACGAAGTGCAAGAGAAAAATGTCTTATTCCAGTGATTTGTAGCACTAACTGCTAGCACCCCACTGGAAGGACGCGAAATTGAAAGTTTACACTAAGGCACTGACAAGGTTTAAAATTAACACGACTACATATAGGTTTCTAATTACGCCCTTTTATTAAGTGTATTGCGAAGCATTAAATCTGATCCGTATGGCTTTTTTAATATCATAGAAACAGTTCTTCTCTATTTTAAACAAAAACAACATCACAGGGAAAGAGTATTTTATTTTACGAAGGAGTGTGAGTAAATATTCAAAACAACGTAATATATTAATTTTTGTCATTTATTCCCAAAGTGAAAGTAATATACTCTGAAGTAGTACCTTTTTCTTTGTACGAATCCATGGATACATTAGTCTATAAGTGAGAATGCGATAATCCAAACCGAGACCAATAGCAGTAGTTAAATAGAGCCGATTTTTCTATAAGATGAGAAATTGCACGGGTCCGCCCTGTGCATTAAGGCAATTTTAGCTGCTGCAGTATCGATATTCCTACAAACGCGTTTTTAAGCTTAATTAATGGTATCATCTTCACCATGCAAAAAATGTGATAAAAAGTTATTATGTCAGAATAAGTCGTACATCAACAGAGTAAATTTACAATTGCGCTGCTCGAAACTTTGCGAAGAAATTTCATTGACAAAGAGTAATTTTATGAATAAAGGTCTACATACCATCTATACGTAGGAACTATTTATTTAATTATTAATTATCATAATTATTGGAGCATTGGAAACATAAGCGTGTTTAAAAGTATATATGAAAATTTCAGTGCTTTCAATATAGATTATACCCATTTTAGATAGTTTCATATACTTTTTCTAGGAGTATATTTACCAAGTTTATCAAATTATCATGAAGAAAGAAATTCTTTTTCAGGCATAAGTAGGTTACGTGCCAGAAATATAAATCATTTGTACGTCCAGTTTTACGGACTTTGTACAACCTGCTAATTGTACAAAACAACTTCGGTTGTTCGTATCATCAACTAATCGGCATTAAGATTTTTTTTGCATAGCGTTCACAATATTTTTCTCTTATAGTTATAGTGTAATAATTTTTTAGATGACGTACTTTCATGAAAGACTATAGATTGAAAATAGTGAAAAAAGAATGTTATATCATTTATTCCAATTTATTGGGCTACGTTGAATATAAACGAACGAAATGATATTTACATAGCAGAATTTATATTTTGAATCACTGTTAGTTGAAACTTGCTTGAACTAATGTTAGAAACATTACTCTCAACATCAGAAATTTAGCATCATCAAGTGCTCTTAAATAGATTGTATATTTGTTGAGATTAAATCAGAGTCTCCTCTCTTTATGGGAGGACGTATATGCATATCTCTATGCGTGCTCAATGGAGCCCCAACGAAATTCCTTTAACGGTAATACACGCTATACATGTGACTGAATTAAGAAAAACTATATCGTGATCTCATCGTAATCGGTTCTGAAAATTTTTGAGGACAAATTGCGGATACGTGCATGCATTTTTGTGATAAAAATGTTCATGTTCTCTCTCGAAGAAAACAACTGCGCGAGTACACGCACTTGCCCGCAATGGTACGAAATAATGCACAGTATAAACTGAAATGAACATTTCTTAATCGAGAGTCTTTTAACGAAGGAGAGACAACAATGACAAGATAAGCTTACTTACTTGAAACTACTAGTCAATGAATCTACTGGTATGAGGTGAGTAGATATTGTAAAAATGTTATTATGCGTAATTCTATTTTAATATTCGGGTGGGAACGTTGAAATGAGCATATGGCAAAGCTTACAAAAAGACTTGTTTAAGTTATAACTTATGAAATTAATTCATAAAATTTAAATTATGAACATAGTATATAGTGACAATATTTTAAAAATCTTATGAATACAAATGACAAATTCTTTTATTATTGTTTACAATTTAGATGTTATAGATAAGTAACATCTTAATTTAAATATTGTATAATTTGTAATCTTTGCCACTATATCTAAATTTATCTCTCTGATGGGTGCAAAACTCCAAAACTATTAGGAGCAATTGAAGGAGTTACATTCCATAAATGGTATATTTCGTCATCTGGATTCAATATAAATTGACTGTACTCTGAACCTTAATATTTCTGCATCATTATGCAAAACCCAATCGTTTTATTATACGAATCTGTAAAGAAAAATAGAAAACTTAATACTTGTGTGCAAATTTACCAGCCTAGACTGTATTTTTTTACCTATGACAACCAAAATGTATTTACGTACCAATTTTAGCAAATGTTTGTCTAGGTTCACTATTTGAAATCTAGGCTGCTGTACATAATTACCATCTGAAAAAAAAAACCTTTAGAATTGTTTATGAAAGTATTACTTACTGTCTGGGTGGTAAACATATGTGGGATGAATTTTCTGAACATTGTTAGACACATGAAAATTGATTAAAATTACTGCAATATATTGTTAATGAATTGAACTGCCTTAGTATGTAACATTTAAAATTTAATAGATAGGAGAACTCGACGTAATAATTTCCATATATATCTTATGATAATTTACGTTTCATCCAGCTCCGACATCACATTCATTTCTTGAATAACATCTATTTTTCGTTCTAAAATCTACTTGTGCAAGTATTTGGTCTCTTTAATAATCATCATATATTTAATATATCTTTTAAAAATTATTTATAAAAATTTAGTCTCAATGATACAATTTTTCTTCAGCATTTGCATTAGAATTTTTTTATATTTACAGTATTTGCTTGCTTGTTACATCGCTCATGTCACATTGCTATTTATTGAAGAGAAATTGATACTCTGGTACTTAGCGAACATGTTATTGAAATTTAGGATTGTGAAGTTCTGAAATAATAATCACTCATACAGGTTTTACTTACCAAACAATGTCTCCGTTATTTCTTATACGGAACATGTACATTAATTTGTCTATTTTTGGATTGAATTAACGGATTAGTATCATGTTATCATGTGAAATGCTCATTTAATTTTTTGTCTTTGCAGATGTTTGTAGCAGTTGCTGGCTGAAGACATATACGGGAACATATTGGAAACGAAAGTGGTAAGTGTTCAAGGAACATATTTCATGAAAATATGAAATGTAGAGTTTTTTCCCTATAAACTATAGATAATTTTTCTGACCTTTCTATTGATTTTGAATTTAAAAATTAACAACAATATTATTCCCACTATACAAATTAAACAAAACTATTAGTAGAATGTTACCTCTTTCGTTAGAACAGACACCTGTATACGCTCTTCTTAGTAAGATACGATTCATATTCATACTTGATACGTTAAACGTCACGCCAGTCCCCAGTGTCCGGCGTTAAACTTTCCGTTCAGATCCGGTCCGTGCTCAGGGATCGACTGCAGACTTTAGGTTCATATTGCAGACCGCGTGTGTCGATCCTTGCGCACTGATTGTGAAAAAAAGATATTTTGCTTAGGCGACATCGGTTTTTGTTCAGTCAAAGCTTAAGAAAAAGAATATAATATTTAAAAAAAGTGTCATGGTTTGTTTTTACATTCATTACGAAAGGTGCTAAATTTTAATATTAAATTCTTCATTTGGGAATTCCCGTTATAACATTTGACACAGTATCTCCGAATTTTATGAACACTGGGCCTGAACGGCCACGGCTAGCAAAACGGGCTGGGCACTTCACGTGTTAAGTTTACTTATTTTAAATTTGTAGTTTTGATGTTTAAATGTTTGTTCCCTTATATTATTTGTATCATACGAGCGTGACAGTCTAAAAGTAACAAAGAAGTAAATATTTTATCAACTTGCAGCGGAGAGGCGTTTGTAACGGAAGAGTTAAATGTTTTGCGTTTTCCATAATAGTAATATTCATTTACAGTACTGANTATTTCATGAAAATATGAAATGTAGAGTTTTTTCCCTATAAACTATAGATAATTTTTCTGACCTTTCTATTGATTTTGAATTTAAAAATTAACAACAATATTATTCCCACTATACAAATTAAACAAAACTATTAGTAGAATGTTACCTCTTTCGTTAGAACAGACACCTGTATACGCTCTTCTTAGTAAGATACGATTCATATTCATACTTGATACGTTAAACGTCACGCCAGTCCCCAGTGTCCGGCGTTAAACTTTCCGTTCAGATCCGGTCCGTGCTCAGGGATCGACTGCAGACTTTAGGTTCATATTGCAGACCGCGTGTGTCGATCCTTGCGCACTGATTGTGAAAAAAAGATATTTTGCTTAGGCGACATCGGTTTTTGTTCAGTCAAAGCTTAAGAAAAAGAATATAATATTTAAAAAAAGTGTCATGGTTTGTTTTTACATTCATTACGAAAGGTGCTAAATTTTAATATTAAATTCTTCATTTGGGAATTCCCGTTATAACATTTGACACAGTATCTCCGAATTTTATGAACACTGGGCCTGAACGGCCACGGCTAGCAAAACGGGCTGGGCACTTCACGTGTTAAGTTTACTTATTTTAAATTTGTAGTTTTGATGTTTAAATGTTTGTTCCCTTATATTATTTGTATCATACGAGCGTGACAGTCTAAAAGTAACAAAGAAGTAAATATTTTATCAACTTGCAGCGGAGAGGCGTTTGTAACGGAAGAGTTAAATGTTTTGCGTTTTCCATAATAGTAATATTCATTTACAGTACTGAAACTCTACAACCTATTGGATGCAGCATATTAGTTTATGAAGCGGATCTCTACATTTGAAATATAGAACCATGTAATAATAAGGTAAATTTTATTCTTGTTTTCCTTATCTATTTCGTTGAATATAACATTGAGGTTTCCAAAAATTGTATTATCGGGAAGACAGTTAATTTTAAAACTACACACAATTGTAAAAATAGTTGATTTAACTGGTCATAATCCAAAATTAATAATTAGGAGTTAAAATCTCAGTAACTAAATTTTGCTAACATTTAATTTTATGATGATAATATCAACGCTGATACAAATATCAATGATTTTCTCAACGTGTCCTGACAATTGTACTCTGAAAATATTCTTTTCCTTAGTATTTGTATATAATAACAAATTTATTTTTTTTAGTAGGAAGAAATGCTTTGAATGGGATTTGGAAGGCTAAGGAAGTTTTCACAAAAGCATGGAATAAGTGATACGAATATGAATATTTGATATGAAAGTACAAAAATACAATCTATTTAAGAGCACTTGATGATGCTAAATTTCTGATGTTGAGAGTAATGTTTCTAACATTAGTTCAAGCAAGTTTCAACTAACAGTGATTCAAAATATAAATTCTGCTATGTAAATATCATTTCGTTCGTTTATATTCAACGTAGCCCAATAAATTGGAATAAATGATATAACATTCTTTTTTCACTATTTTCAATCTATAGTCTTTCATGAAAGTATTATGAAGTATATGAAGATTACGAATCTGAATCTCTTCTACTTAAGGTAATATATGTTTGATGACACTTAAAAAATATAGTACAATAAATATTTCGTATACTAATGATGAATATCTTTCGGGGCTGAATATTTTATGGCGAAACTTCAAAAACTCCAACGTGTACATTTTTGACTGAGATAAATGAAAACTTGAATATTTATTAGATTTTCAAAGATATTCCATTAATGATGAATTTTATATTTTTCAGAATCCTCTTCCTCTTTTCACATACATGTGAATCTGCAATCGAAGATGACTTGCTGATAGGCATGTTTGTAAATATCTCGTTTACTTTTTCTTAAAATATTATGTAAGTAATCCTTAACCTGACTGTGTCAAAGTACAGAATAAGTAATATTGGGAGAATATTGTCTTATATATATTAACTTCTTGATATGTACTGTATAATATCATAATGTCTTTAATAATATATTCTTTATGATGAAATTTTGGCTAGAGTCCTGAACAAAAGAGATGACAATTTTATGTTCTTAAACTTACTGATATTTTAAACTGTAATATACTTAATATAATGTAAATTAAATTTTACGAAAAAAAGATATATTTTAATCTGTTACAGTAATATAGCAGTTTTCTGTGCATTTTCCATCAACCCTGGAAAAATCGAGCAAGAACACGACATTCAGCGTCCTCGAAACTCAGTGCCAATGGCGTAACAAATGGGTTGTCGACGTGGCAACGACGGACAAGGGCTAGAACCGAAGCCACGTTTTCCTATGAGGAAAATTTTCTGCTCTCGAGTGTACGAGAAGAACCGAGTTTCCTTTTAGGGTTCTAGAGTCAGTCGTTGCTAAACATTCTTAGAGTAAAGAACTCCCTAGCGCGCCATAAAATAAAGTCTTTCAGTGCTCAATCAATTTTTAGTGTTCAGTGTTATTAGTGATATTAATAATTAGTGATATATAAATTGTGGTAATTAACCTCTTAGGCACTATGCGCCACTATAGAGGCTTTCGCGGATGTCATCTTTCTGTACGACGCGCCACTGTAGTGGCTTTCGCGGATGTCCGCAAAATTCAGCCGTGCCTAAGAGGTTGATATTGTTCGTTTTAATCGTTTTACACTCTAAATCACATACACGTAGCTTTCCTATTAATATATACAAAAATATACGTTATTAAATATGTAGCAACGCTTGAATGTTTTAAAGGATCTCGATACAGGACTGTCAACTAAACATCGGAAAATAGCATTTAAGTCGACAAATTTGTATTTTTTGGGAAAATGAAATAAACATTAGCCCTTCGCGGACGAAGCCGCTTTTGACGGGCGAGCGTCGCTGTGGACGACAGGTGTATTTGAGCGCGCAGTAAAGAAAATGTTCACGTCGCACGTTTGCGTTATAAAAACTAAAGCTTTATTCGAATAACTTTTTCATAAAATCCAATAAAATCATAAACAAACAAATTTAGTCGTTTTTACATATGAGACACGTTTTATATTCGTGCTTTGTGTGATATAGTTCGAAACAATCATCTATGTGCAAGGCCGGCTTAGCTGAATAAGTAGCACAATAGTATCTCGACTCTCTCCTTCCGTGTTTTATTTTTCGATTAGAGCATGCGAGGTAATCTTTACTTCTTTCTATCTCATCTCGCCTAATAATATGTAGAAGGCCGTTGAGCCTTTCTGCTGTTCCAGAAGTCAAAGGAGCCTTTGGATTAACATCTCAAAAGATCTCCAATCAATTGATCTACCAAGTGACGCACAAATACCTTTTATATTTTATATAATAATAATATATTTTATATAACTTTTTTATATTGTATTTCTTGTGATGTTCTTGATATAATAGATAGGAATTTATCACATGTTAAAATTTAAAAAAGTTGTCATTGCATTATGAGTTGTCTTGCGGGAATTCGTGTGCTTGCCGCACACGGTACAACTTTAATGAATTTGTAAGATTTACAATGCTAGAATTCATTTTAGAGACCTCCTCTTGTATTTTCCTAGCTCTGGCGATATCTGTGAAGATAGTGAATGGAAGATATATTATAATATGCGAATACGTAAATTTTGACAACAAAGAAGCAGTCTTCCTGAAGCAGAGAGACACTGTACACAGCGATCTTCGTAGATTCATAATTAATTGCAAATAAATAATCGTGTTACTCCGTTCTTAAATAAAAGTGTGTTAATCAGCGAGGAGGAGAAGAAATCTCAGTAAAATATATTATTGTTTCCGGATTTTCGATCATTATTTTACACCCTTCGCCTACGAACACAGAAACAAAATGTAACTGATAATTTCGACGACACTTTCGTCTATTCATAATATTAATCGAATTCAAATTCCGCCATCTACTAGAATCATCTTTTTCAAATTGCTATTAGCATACCTAGAGTGGTACATATTACTATATTATATATATTACTATTACTATATATTATATTACTATATTATATATATTACTATTACTATATATATATATATATATATATATATATATATATATTATATTACTATATTATATATATTACTATTACTATTACTATATAACTACACATATATTAGTACGCATAGATACATCTCAGTGTATGGCGGTAACTGATATGAAACAGTAAACATTGAATCGGCTCAGTCGAGGTGACCTCTCCGAAACGTGCCCATCAATTGAGATATTTATCAAAAGTTACAATGAAACTTTCAAATCTACGCAATATCTTCGATGTAGTGAAAATTTGTCATTCAACAAGACAAGTCGGGTTTGTTGCGTGTGCAAGAGTAAGCAGTTGCAGTGCCCGCTGTGTACAACCCAGAAATTGCTGACGCTCGAAGATAAATCATTGTTTTGTCATACAGTGATCGCTCATGCATTGTACTCTTTGCAAGTAATTGTCATAATTCAATTTCATTTAGTTATTAGAATTCTTTCATGCGTACTTTCTAAGTGCATTTCATTCATTTGTGTTGCAAGTCGATAAAGGCACCTGCAAGTGGTCGATATCCTCGGCATCGGCACTCTCTGGTTTCGGACCAACGATAGACGGAAACCGCATCCCTCTGGAGCTGCAACGCGGTTTTCTCTTCTTCTCAGAGGAAGCTCCGGATAGCTCCAGATAGCTCAAAATAGCTCCAGATAGTTATGGATTCCAGCGTGAATGATGCGACTATGACCATGGAGCTGACGGGTTCCGTCAAGTTGAAGTTAGTGCTTAATTTTCCAGAGAGGCGACCCGATGCTTTCACGAATGCACGATCCCTGGGTGAAAACAGGTCCACCTCGAAATACGATACGTGCAGTGACAACAGTATCTCTGGTAGGCACATCATCGTCATTTCGTAGAAATACACAATTTGCAAAAGGTTCGTTTCTAATCTAATCCGATATTATTTGTTACGCAGCTATGACGATATCCGGGAAACAAGTGTTACAGGGACGTGCATCAGGCATGTTCTTCTCGGAGTTTGTTACTTCGCTCTCGCAGGAACTTAGAAACAGTGACACTCCGGATAGATCACCGCGGAATCCGCTTCCGGAGCGACCTCGCGGGAAGATCAAGGCTCGGGACCCGATACATAAATTACAATCTCACAAATCTACGCAAACTGAATAATGCCGAAAAAATTGCTTTCCATCATGACTAATACTAATTTGTTATTTTGTTCTACATTATATCTATCTATTTTGTTCTAAATTATTTTGTGTAATGTTATGTATTAAAAGAGAGAGAGAGTACTGTATTTTAAACGATCTAGTATATTTACGCAGTCGATGATCATGCATAAATGATAATCGCGAAACAAATAACAGAACTGTGATCGAATAAATAAATGTCGCATCACGTACAAGTCGAACCTCGGTAACTCGAACCACAAGGGAAACACTAAGACCGAGTTATAGAAGTTTCGGGTTATTAACCCTTTTAGTGCCATGCGAAAAAGAGGTGCCTGTGCGAGAATAACCGGCCGAATTTCACGGTTTTACTAGGGTTTGGGAAAATGCTCGTTAAAACCAAACAGGAAACAATATTTACATGATTCAAAAAGCAGTAAATTAAGGACGAAATAGAAAACAAACCAATGACGCTAGATTTTCTATATTCATTGAAAATTATATAAGTAACAAAGGTATAAAAGATCATAAAGAAAATAAAAGTCCAATTCTTTCTTATAAAACGTATTTGCGCATACAAAAAGTCATCGTTTCATCATAATTTTATATAGATCATTTATTACATTATCTTGTTAATATTATTGTCTTGTATATATTATATTATAATATTATATTATATATTGTTGCGACGGCAACACCGAAGGTCAAACGTCAATTAAAAAAAAAAACGGCAATAAGCGATATAATAATAATAAACGGCAATTAAGCGATATACCTGTGACACTAAAAAATGCACCCAAACGAAAATACCCTTCGACCCGACGAACGGACAACACGACTCATAAATTCCATATTTCCCAAAACGGAAAATTTACAACCCGAACTTTCGAACAGTTTCCCACTCCTCAAGTTCCTTCCGACACACCCATCTCCAATCAAAAACGCTTCATTTCCTCCACCAAAACCCACCATACACCAATCGACAGAATCATTAGAACCACCAGAACTGTTAGAACTCGTAGAACTCTAAGAACGCAGATAACGCATCGCTAAGACCATAGCTGTAATATTATTAAAGTGTACGTAAAGGCGACCAGCGACTTCATTAAACTTAATTCCATTTGGAAACATCGCGCACATACATATATATATAATATAATATTATTATAAGCGGTGTCTTATAATTATGTCCAAGCGAAATTGTATTTGTTATTATAGTATTATATATATATATATATATTTTTAATATAATTATATATATATATATATATATATATATATATATATATTATATTAAAAATTAAATTTAAAAATTTTTATATGTGTATTATACATATATATGTATATTATATTATAGTATTTGTTATTATTTTTTCGCAAAATTTATGAAAATGTTATTAAAAAATAAACAATTTTGTTTCGACTAAATGTATTTTAATTTGATTGATTTGTTGTCTTATAATTTTTTCCACCAGTGTAGGTGATATAAGCCGTATCTAAATCTCGAACCAATGAGAACGTAGAGGCGTGGAGTAGCCGTTCATTGATGTTACGCGGCAGGGGAGGGGGGGGAGCACCAGCTGTTCGTGGTTGCTGCTTAGTAAGATAGCGTGCCAGCTGTTTGTCGTTACTGCAGGGCAAGGGAGGGGGGAACTCTCTGATTGGCGTTGCAGGGTAAGGGATGGGGGAAGCGCTCGCCGTTCGTCGATAGTGCAGGCAAGGGAGGGGTGCGCTCGTCGCTGATTAGGGTAAGAGGTGGGAGAATCACTGGCGCTCAATCTCTTCAGATTCCTGAAGAGTCGCCGGCCTCATCGAAAGTCTTGTTTATCGACGTTTGCGATTTCGCGAAGTCGCTTTATTGGTTTGTTAACCCTTAGCACTTCGAACCATTTTGAACGTTGGCTACCAGCTACTCGGCGCCACTTTTCGGCAGAAGCGGGCATTTACAGAGCCTCGTATTATTTAGTATGGTTTTGGAACTAACTAACATATTATAATGATATTGGACTTCTATGAATTTGGCTGAAATCGAGAAATTTGCAAAAAAATCAATATTTTATCTTTTATAATTTTGTTATTGTTTGTTTTATAATTTTGTTTTGTTGTTGTAATCGCTATCTATGCGAACTCTTACTTTCGTCGCCTTGTTGCTTGGACGATATCACTATCACTGCTATCAAAACGATAGACTAACTGTAGACTAGAACGTCTAGAACGTCTATCTGGAGCTCATCTTCGCTACTACTTGTGTCATGAGACTCATTCGTGTTTGAACGTTTTGCCATTGTTCTAATAAAAAATACGAATAAATACATAGGTTGAAAATTTCTAATTGTTATTACTAACTCACAAGATGATATTTACCAAAAAAACTTTTATCAAACAATTTATTTACCAAGAGAAGAATCACTTTTCCGATTTTCTCACTCGTTAGATCTATCTATACCGCTCGACGCTTCACAAACCAGACTGAGTTCAACTTTGAAAATCTTTTCCTCCAGATTTACATTTTATTCGCTATTTCTTGTGTAATTAATACACAATTAGATCTTACCGACGTTAGAGTTAAAAAATTATTGTTCGTTCCTGTTCCACTGATCTCTGCTGTATCTGATATGTAGAATTCCATCGTGTTTGTACGTCCATAATCAATTCAGAATTAAATTTTATGTATCTAGCAGTATATCAGACGATTTGTTGTCATTTGAAACCAATGTGCGGCATATATCAGGTATACCGACGATTGACTGACTGTTAAATTTATGATACGTGCAAAGAATGGCATGTTAGTCGTCGATGGTTCAACTAACGTAATTGCAGTTAACATAAGTATAAGTAATCATATTTACTATCACACTACGAATGACATCTGACACCGCAGAAATCTGATCATTCTCAATATTTTTATTATCGATATTATATATATATTTATTATCGATATATTATATATATATTTATTATCGATATATTATATATATATATATATATATATATATATATTTATTATCGATATATTATATATATATATATATATATATTTATTATCGATATATTATATAATATATTTATTATCGATATTATCGTTCACGGTCAGTTATTCAATTCAAGAGAAAATTTATATGATTCTGATTTATGGGAAAGGTGATCAGTGTTTAAGAAATTTCCTGAATGTAACTGTCATTGCGTAGTCCATATGGAAAGATAGTCAAACATAGTGTACAAAAGGATCAAGGAACTTACGAAGTCTAAGAAAATCTAATTCTATGCGCGTCGTCCGATGAAGTTACCTGTAGTCCCGTGAAACTGTAAGTTAAAAAAAAAAGAAACCGTGAAACGTACGAATATATAAATTTATTTAAATCAGAATGTACAAAAATGTCAGTGGACGGCATAAGAGATACATGTAAACCTATTATTACCTACGTTAAAATCTTACAGTAACGTTTAAGATCTCGAAATATGGACGGATCGGTTTCGATTCTGGAATCCTTAGGACGACAACAACAAAAAAAAAAAGAAGATATCACTTCATGCTATAAAACGATCTTGAACGCGTTCAGTCATATAATAAGGCGTTTGTATATAAAACAGAGAAACTACGATCAACTCGTGAACGCGTACCACGAGGAGATTATAAAACTATAACTTAGATAACGTGGCGAGATATACTAATGTCTTTTTATGCAACATACCACGAACATTCTAAACGTTTCGTCTTCATTCGGTTCTATTGTACACGTTCTAACAAGATAGTCTAGCGAAATTTTATCTACTGAACACATAAGTGAGTAAAATCATAGCCATCGTGGCCAATATCGATTGCTCTATAGCGGACGCGCCGGCGTTGCAATCGACGATTCTTCGGGCTCGCATAAAGTCGCTGCCCAGATAGGCGCTGAACTCTCTTTTCTCGGGTGGTACGACCACCAATTGTTGCGTGGCGTCTTGGAAGATCAGGTCGCTGTAAGGAGGCTCGCTGAAGAACATGCTGAAGCTAAATTCGTCCTGCTCTTTCCTGCCATAGAACTGCTGCGCGTAAATGAACAGATTGATGTACGCGTTTATCTGTGTCTCGTTGTATCCGTAATATCCCCCGCGGGTGACTATCGCGTTCGACGAGACTTTCCCGAGGTTGCAGTGTATGTAATCGGTCGTGGGTCGTCGAGTGCCGTCCGGACAAAGCAGCTCGAAGTCCTTGAGGAAGGTGTTGCGCGCCCATGTCTCCTTCCGTTTCCCGTCGGTGTTCTCGGCGACCGTCGTGTGTTTCACGAAGGCCACGTCTCCGCCACCTTCTACCAGACATCTGAAGGCACCGGTGTAGCCGAAGTAGTCCTCGGAAGCGTCCCTGCGGCAGTAGCGGAAGCTCGCCCCGTGACACAGATCGCACATATTGTCGTAAGGCACTCCTGCAACGTCGGCACAACGAGGTCAGAGACCCAATTCTTTGAACGAGACGTTAGAAAACATAGATAGATACATTACACACCTGTATTGTATTCGGTGCTGAGGGCACCCGGCACGCAAGATTTACTGAAATATTCAGCGGCGGCGCGCACGGAGTCGCAACCGTAGCCCCTGATCCAGGTATTCGAGATAAGATACGCGAGAGGATAAACCCAGCCCGCGGCCGTGTTTATCCCGGTGTGACAAGTGTATTTGTTCTTCAAGTAGGTCAGATCCGTGTTGTCGTCCTCTTCCTTCGCCACCGCAACTACATAGTACTCTGGCGTGGGCAGGTTGTAGACCTCGGAGATGAACGGGATTAAATCAAAGCGTAGCCCGGCGGTGTACACGTCGCTGGTGTCCAACACTGATACGTCCGCGTTCCTGAACAGAAATGTGTTAAATCAAAATAGCGAGTAGGAGAAAGGGATCTTTGCATGAGAGCACGCACCCGCTTTGAATTGCCTGCATGCAATGAATTTGACTGTGGCCCTTGTGACAGTTTAATTCAGGCTTCAGTAGTTGCGCCTTTAATGCTATCTGTAACAATATGAATTGGTATTGACGACAGAAGCAGACTTTTTTTTCTAAAATCGTATTTACCTTCATTTTCACACACTTCTCCATTTCCGGGTCGGACGTAACGCACAGAGTCATTTTATTCACGGGACAGCGACGAACTTCTAGTATAGGGTCCAGCGATCTACCCAAATAGCCACTGTAAGTTTGATCTTTTTCTGGTAATTGAACGAAGTCTCGAGCAGAGTCCTATAATTGCGAAATTTTATTGAAGATCAACACGATATTTTTTCGAATTACGAATACGATGATTGATTACCGAGAACATTAAGTTGTGATGCAATCCGTATTTCGGTGCCGATTCGAACAAGTTAAATGTCTCTATCGGTTGTATATTCGTTGATTCCGTTTTGTCCCAGCCATTACCGTTGTAACTTCTATCGTAGCCGTTGCGATTCTCGAAATTGTCTGTGTTGTACTCGTTAGGGTTGCCGTAGCTGCTTCTGTTGTAGTTATTCTCGTCGAATCTGTTATTGTAGCCCGGCCTGTTCTCGAAACGATTGTCGTAAAAATCGGTCGAGTTCTGGACGATGTCTTTGTTCAATATCCGAACTGCTCTTTCCAAAAACCGCTGATACAGTCGACGTGTCTCGATTTTCGTGGCGGATGATGTAACTACGGCGCGCGATGGCACCGTTCCCCAGTTACAATGCTTGAATTCGTCGATGCTCTTTCGGCTGCCGTCCGTACAAAGCAACTCGTACTGATGCTTCTTCACATTAACTGCAAAACGAGAGTCAGAGATCATTATTTCACACTTTCGTAACGATTGAATCACAGGGTGGAAAACGTACGGAAATCGAAAGACGTTGATATCATTTCATCCACGGTCGAGTTCACTAAGAAAGCAATTTCTCCTGCTTCTACCAAGCATCTAAATGCTCCCTCGTATCCTGCATAAGGATCTGCGCTTGTACACCTTTCCCCGGGTATCTTGCCAATGCACAGCTTGCACAATTGATCAGAATTATCACCTGGAATTTTGGACAATATTTCCATAAATTGCTTTCAATGTTCGATAAGGTACGCGCGAACTTACCCAATGGATTATATTTATCTATTAATGAGTTAACTGCACAACTGGGGCCAAAATATGTGATAGCAGATTTTACATGATTATTGCAATCGATAATTTCTAGTCCACCTTGTTTCATAAGCTAATGAATAAAAATGATAGATAGTCATCGTTATAAATATTATTATTGGAAAAATATAACCGACGCAGAGGAAATAGATTATATTTACAACATGAATGGGAATAACCCAACCAGCAAGCATCCCAAGACCAGCGAAGCAGGCCTTTTTGCCTCTCAAGTCGTGTAAATTCTGTACATCCTGTAAAGATCCTTTCTTAATTACTGCGACTGCGTATTGATAGTTTAATCCACTCTCGTATATCTCTTGCATAATCGGTATTAAACTGTGATATCTTCCTGCTATAAAAATCTCTCCGGGATCCAAAGTGGTTATCTGAGCTTTCTCATGGTCTAGCATGGCCACGCATTCCTCTTTGCTCGATGCTTGTTTACATTGCAGTGATATGTAGTTACGATCAAAGAATGCTATCTCGCGGTCAATTGCTCTTGAAAATGCATTGCATTTGTCTTGTTCAGCTGCCGATATTGTACACCATGTAACAGTATTATTTAGATTCTGACCTGTGAATAAATGTTACGGACAAATTATAACAGAGTGATTGCTGGTAAAGTATTAGACTAAAGCAGAACATTATATTGCTTACTGTGAACGTGCAGCCAAAATAAACTAAAGACTATTAACAGTCTTCGATCACCAAATCCGGTGAACATTTTTAACACTTTATTATACTAACATTAATTAAACCGAGAGACAACACCCAATAATGTGACGCAACCTCGGGCGTGTTATAGGAGTAAACCGAGCTGTCTGTCGAATTACCAACAATCGAGTTTGGCTAATAGTTTGACCGTGTTGCCGCTGCACCAAAATGACGTTGCATGGACATCGAACGAAGCTTCAGGTTTTTCTCCGTAAGTGGCGCTACAGTCGCCCACATCGGCCCAATACAAGAAGGCCACCTAAATATCTCCTCTAATTGCGGGGGTACAAAAAATATTGTTTATGCCATTTCAATGGTTTGGAAAAACCATTCTGTTACAAGAAAAATTTTTTTCTAAGGTAATTTTGTTCGAAGTTTTCAAGGTCGTCGATGTTTTTTTGTGTATAATTGTATAATTCTTTTTATTGTATCGTGTAACTGATGTAAAAATATGTTTAGTTATGTACATTACACGACTTTGAAATTACCTTCGAGATCAAAAATTAAGTGGAAACGTCAAATTTTTGTCTATCGAGATTTTAGAGACGAAGACGTCGATCGGGAATCTGTAAGTATAAATAATCATGTTTACTATCACACTACAAATGACTTCTGACACCGCAGAGATCTGATCATTCTCAATCAATTCGTTACTTTATCGATATTATCGTTTATGTGACGGCGGGTCGGCCGTAGTTTACGTCTCTGCGCATCTGGTTTATTTTCTCGGACGGCCAAACGACGAAGGACAAGGGTCCACGGTCGAGGCCTGAATTTTTCGGCAGTGAAACGTCGACTCCCGAACGAGCGCGTCGAATAAACGATTATCCGCGAACGAGTCTCAATGATTTTTCGCATCACCCACAAGTGATTCGGATTATCAATGATTAAGTGATCAGTGTTTGGTGACAGTGCAGCGTAAATGAACTTCGTAAGCAACCATACTAGAGGTTCTTCCGTCAGTATCCCTCGAATGTTGCGGTCATCGACCTGGGATCAGCTGTTCGTTGTACGAGGTCAGTGCGTACGAGTCGGCAAATGCATCCTCAACTAAATGGGTGAGTTTCTTATCGATAATATTTTTCATATTTCTCACGTTCCTTAACGCGATTATTTATTATTAAATCAGCTTTGTGAATCTTTCCTTGAATTCTGTTCGGACACGGAATTATTTAAATTAAAATATCGTTTACGAACTTTGTTAATCGTCACTATACACCTTGCATAAAAATTTCATATGGTACACACAAAGTGTCATGCACACCAGAAAATTAAAACGGCTGTCACGGTTAAACTACATATTATTTCGGGTCCGAAAAATTAGTAAATATTCTTCAGTAGAGTTCTACAGTAGAGGTAAACAGCGTTTTTCTTAAAAATATCACTTTTACGTAATAAAAAAAAATCCGGAAAGTTCACGCTTCGTGACTTGTTCAATACTTCGAACGCGGCTCGAGTCCGTCCCTATCTTCTGTCAAAACCTCGTCTGCTGCGGGCTCTCGAACTTCGCGCCGTCACTGGTAGCAAAAAGCTACTAGTTCCCAAAGCTTTACGAACAACCTGCAACAAACGAAATTACACGTTAGACGAGCTGTTAGAAACTGTAGATTAAGTTTCTTGCATTTAATGATTTACTAATACTCCTTGCGATCCCAATGTACTTACAATTACTGGAACAATTTCAGCTACGTGTTCCGCTATTGTCTTTACTTCTTCTAAATCCATAGACGACTTTTCTTTGGTCACTGATATCCCCAGGCATTTTGCAATTGCCTTTAATTCATTTCTGTTTGGAGATATGATGCGAACATTTTGCCACTGTGATTCTGTTTCAAATATTTTTGTTGCTTTCTTCACGTCTGTAGGCTCGTACCAAACTGCAAAAAATGTTTTTATAAAAATTTTGTATATTTATATTGTTTTTATAATAATAATGTATATTTTATAGTATGTATGTAATAATAATGTATATTTTAAAGTAATGTATGTAATTGTAAACGAAATTTGTGACAAATATGTAACACAAAATGTTTTAAATAAACTGTTCAAAAAATTCGTTGCGATTTCTACCACACGGTGCGCTGGGTGAAACAGTAAACATCTTTCATTAGAACGGCTCCTCTGTAGACACTCTGTTTTATGGAGAAAATGTGTAGGATATTACTATGTATGTATACACACTTAAGCATACCTCTGCATAACCGCACGATACAGCCGTCAGAAATAAAAAATCTTTGCCGTCTGTTAATAAACAAACAAAGCAACAAAATTCACGATACTGTTGTATTAACAAACGAATGGTATAATGGGCAAATCTCGTAATGGAAAAGCTGCTGCGATATGCACAGCAGTAGCATTTGTTGCAATAGTGATTGCATTTACCACACCCAATTGGCTTGAAACTGACGGCAAATTGGAAAATCCAAAGTTTATTAAAATTGGTAATTTAATTTTTACCATTCTTGTTACCGAGAAATGGATCTACGCTTTTCATTCTTCAGTTTATGGTGTTGATTGGTTGTCAATTATTTCGATCGTTGCAATAAATTTTGAATAAGCTGTCAAAAATGTATTTACCTGATTATAATTTATTCTTTTTTTGCTTAGGTTTATGGCAAGTATGTTTCCATGGATTTGAACATCCCCATCACTTGTACGACACAAAATTTTACGGCTGTTGGTGGGTGTTCGAAGAAGAGTACTATATAATTCATGATATTCTTCTACCACCCTTTTTTGTGGCAACACAGTTTTTCTTCACGTTGTGTCTAACTTTATTATTGATAGGAAGTTTTCTAACAACATTGTATGCATGTTGTTCACGTCATCACCACAAATATCAGTTGCTATTATGGACAATTGGTGGGAATTTATTGTTCGGTGGAATATGCGGTATCATATCTGTTATTATATTTGGTGCTCGCGGGGATGGGAGAGATTGGATGCCCAACTGGGAACATAACGAGATCAGTTGGTCTTATGCATTTGCTGTGATTGGCAGCTTTATCTTGGTTCTTGCTGGTATCCTATTCTTAATCGAGGGACGTAGACACAGGAAGAAACAAGAGAGAATTCTGAATGAAGAACAAAAGACACATACAACCATCTAATTGCAGTCTTTGCGGAATAAAAACATGAATCTCTTTTAAATTATTTAAAGCAATGGAAAAAACACAACTCTGTTGTTTTCAGACACAGTTTATGTGAAATTATTTCTAGTAAGCTTAGTGCAAATTTTATAAAGACTATTATATATTTTTACATTCATACTCGTTATGTTGATAAGTATTATGTCCACTGCATGCAAATGTTCATGTTGCCTTATGTATGCAGTAATTATATCAATATTAGGGCAGTCTGAAGTTGAAAAAGATATTTTGTATATCCTTGTAACTTGTAACACAAGTAAATTATGCATTTACTACTTGTTTTTGTAGAATAACGCTACAAGTCCGTCCATAGAAATAAGGAATCTTATGCAAAGAGACTAAGAGTCTGTAAATAGTAATGATATTAAACATATAATTGAAACCATAGTATGGTCTAAATCCAAATAAATATTGTATATTTGTTGTAACCTTTTATATCAGAAAAGTGTATAAGAAGTTGAAACAATAAAAGAATTTGTTTTAAATTTTCTATTTTAACATCCTTTACGAAGCGTGATACGATTCCACCGTAATTTTGAAATCAATAGCATTTCTAGAGAAAAATAATTAAGTAAGGGATAGAATACGGTCAAGCGGTGACCTATTTTAATTCAACGTGAGTTACGACTAAGATTGCGTGCACGAAGATCGACGTCAGGTGTAAGTCGTTGACCCAGTTTAGCTCCTATTTTAATCGTTCACCTGGTAAACATTTTCTTCCACACCTATTGACAGTTATCAACTCTGTTAGTAAGATCAAGTGGAATTTACATAAACATTTTATCTTCCATATGTACCACGAGCCATGGGCCACATATTTCATACTTCATTGTATAAGTACACGAATCTAAGAAGTTTCAAGGACATCTCAACATAGAGAAATAATACTCTGGTTATAAGGTGGTGTTATAAAGCGAAATAATATGTGTATTACATACTACTGCATACTGTATGTGTGTAATGTAAGTCGCGAGTTTTTAAATTTTTAAGTACTATCATCGTTATCCTTGGGTAAAATACTAGACAACATAGGAACACGTTTTAGTGTTATTTACTTGATTGTACAACTGAACTGAAGCGTCTTTTTCAATCTAAACGAAGATAGACATTTCTTTAGAATAGAATAGATTCGAAAGGGAATGTCGTTAAAAAATTAGTTTGTGGCATTAAATATACATATGCACATACATATACATTGTACTATTGCCAGCAGTTATTGAAGCGCAATCATTTTTACAATACTTGGAAAAAAAGATTGCAATAAGTATGAATAAATAAATAAATACCATCGAAAAGATTGCATACATACGTACATAGAAAACGCAAATAGAAAACTATGAAAGTAAATCATAGTTTTATCGTTATATATGTATACTTTTTATTTCTCTAATAACGCGCGGGAAAATGATAGCGTCATCTACTTATGAACGAAGTCATACGAATTACATCTGAATGCAGTATTTTATAAAGTGAACGTTCACTGCCATCGGTAAATTTATATGTAATAAATTTGCAACGAGATCCGTCCTTAGGTACAGAATTATAATAACGTTGTTACTTCCATGTAATCAAAATGGAGCAATTCAAAATTTTGTGTGTGTGTGTATCATATTTTTACTTCAATAAATTACTTGATAATTATATGTACAGACATACTTCTGTTTTACTTTTTACCGTCCTCGACCATGTATTCCGATCCGATTTCGAATTCGAAGAAAAACAATTCCAAAGCCGCTATATTATGAGATTGTACCGGTACTGTACATAGAAACGTACAGGCAGCCGCTTTATCGACGACAATTAACTTTTACAGTTGGTAACAATGCAATGCCGAGAGGTATCGCAAGTTTAGAAGGATCTTAGTGTTTTCGCAATTATAAACAAACAGTTTTAGTAGTTCTTATATTTTCTATCATCAAACTCGAAGAATCGACAATGTCTGCCGACAAACAGGAATATCACCGCGCATCAAGTAAGCGATATTAAATAATTTCATAGTCATTTTGCTTGAAAAAGAAACATCCCTAACCTCTATCAACTGCTGATTATGTTATTTCAGATGCGGTAGTATTTGGTGGACTAATCACGTATATCGCTGGTCTATTGTTGGTAATGGCATTTACAAGGTAATTGCTTTTTTAAATAGAAATGATTTATGTATCAGGTATCTTGCATAATTAGCGTCTACTTAACCAACTTGCTTTCAGTCCTTATTGGATCGAATCCTATCAAGAAACATTTAGTAATTTCAAGCATATGGGATTGTGGGAATATTGTTTCAAAGAATTTCGATATCCATACTATCAATTTGACAAACAGTTTGACGGATGCCACCACATTTTCTCAGAGGAATATTATGTAATTCGTGAGTGGCTACTACCAGGGTGGCTATTGGTAGTGCAAACGCTTGTTACTGTTGCCCTGTTACTTTCGTTCGCGGCACAAGTTATGATTGCGTTAATGTTAGTGCGTTGGCCGTTGAAATTTGTACTGAATAACGAATGGCTTCTCTCCTCTGCTGCCTTCTTGTGCTGTGGAGGAGCAGGTAAATATCATATCTTGGATGAAACCTTATGTTTAGCTTGTTAGAAATATGAAGGCTAATGTATCCTTGAATCTTACTTTACAGGCACTCTATTGTTCTTAGCAGTATCAATATTCGGAGGACAATGCTGGCGCAGGGATTGGTTAATGTACCCGAATTTTAACCACTTGTCTTGGTCGTA